GTTCATCCAATGCCAGTCAAGACTGGGTATTCAAGATAAGAAGCATTCAGTCTACGGCACTTCAGGTTTAAAAAATAAAATAAAATAAAATAAAAAGGCAGAGGTGGTTGAAGTGAGCACTGCCTTGCTTGTTCAAAAGTTTTCACCTAACTTTAGAAATATGACAGCCACCCATTATCAACTTGATCCTTACTTTATACGCTTTAGCAAAGCACCTGGGTGTTCTGTTTGTTGGCTTAATGCACTTACCTTTGCCTTGGCCCCAGCCTTGAGGCATGAGAGGCCTGATGCAAACCCCAGTCACATAGGTGAGACTGACCCATCATTTTAGATCAAGCACAAGATAAACATGAGCATCTCACTTGTTTTCCCTCCGTTATGAGTTAAAAAAAGGGTCGACCTTTTCAGTTCCGTATTGCCAGCCCATTCCAGGCAGTATGGAAGGATTCACACGCTGCTTTGCTTTATGATTGAATTCAGACTCACTTTTCTAGTCATCTGTGTATCGGGTCAGGATAACTTCTATGATTAACTGAAGTGGAATATAGAGCATTTTGTATTATGCTCTATAATGTTTTCTGGTAATTTTCTTCTGTTTGTCTTTGCAAGCTCCATTTTAAAGGGCGTCTTTCATTTCAAGGCCTGAATAAGCACAGTACTATTGCTAATGGAAACAGGCTGAACTTACAGGCAGTATATTGTTGAGTATTATAAAAATTGAAAATAAGTAATTAGAACCCATTCCCACCTGCAGATATGATTGGAAAGTCATTTCCCAAAGCAACACCAAGGGTCATCCATTAACGTATTACCTTTCAAGTGGAGTCTCCAAGGGATGTCAGATTTGCTTTTTAACTTGCTTGTTATTCTCATTTGCATGTTGGCTGCAGCAGATAGAGCTTCCCAGGATCTGGAACTGCTTTCCTCCCTCCCTCTCCCCTTCCTAAGGGAAATAGAGACATTTTGAATCTGTCTTTCAGTTTATTTCCCTGGAAGCAGTAACAGTAACTCCTCATCTGGGTATTCTGAAATTTAACTGTGGCTAGGGCTGGCTTCTGTATCTTTTGAGAGCCTTTGAAAATGGATAGGCATTGGTAGCAAATGAAATATAACAATGCAAAATCTTACCTGGTTTTGAAATGTTCTTTATAATTCATGAGGTAAATAAATTAACTAAAATTAATATTTCTGGCTTAATAGGTTAAATGCCTTGTGTTGCTGACTGAATTCCATATTGCATTAGTGTAACTAATTAGTTAAAGGAAATTTCCTTTCACTGTTGTCACTGATGGTTAAAAACAGTATTTTTGTGTTTAATACTAATCCAAACATAGGCATATTTTAAGATCACATGGTTCTGAAATTAGTATTATGTACTCTGTAAGTAACATTTGGAAACACTGCTCAAGTCTTTGAGGAAAGGAGGAAGAGAGCAAGGTAATTTGCCAAAATGGACCAACTTGAACACAACGTGCTATTCTGGTTTTGGAGCCACAAGTGACTAATTTGTAAAGAATAGTGGTTAATTTTCACTTACATTCGTTTACGTTCCTTGCCATAATGTAATTTATAAAGATAGATAATTTAGCTTTAAAAATATGAGAGAAAGGTCATGGTCACTACCATATAATGCTTTTGGACCGTGTGTAGATGCAAACCTCCATGTTACGTACTGTGAGTAATGAAATAGTGGCCCAAGGCAGCCTTGTGAGTTGTTGGCTCTTCTAAGGAATGCAGAGGGTGTCACCATTTAACAAATCTGCTTTTTTCAGATATGGCTTTTTTAACTCCTTGCTGTTTGGGACCTTAAAGCCTGTGTCAGTTAATGTTCTTGGACTGCTTACTAGCACTGAAGTAAGGCCTGGTCTTTGCCTGTGCTGTTAAGACTTCCTATTGTCCACAACAGGGTGGCTGCAAGCAAGCTGTCAGTGACCATAATCCCTGGTCCCTATGACCCTGAGGACTGTACTTGGGAAGAGTTTGGAAGTGTCTTACTAGCCCAGGCTAAACACTTCCACACACCACTCTAATGACTTTTTAACTTAGAAAATACTGTTCTGACGCCTAGGAATGTGCCCTGGGACTGTTCAATTTAAAATACAGGCAGTCTGTGGATTTATTCC